TGCCTAGCAATTGCCATGAATATGGCTCGAATTTTCAGCGAATTTCAGTTTCCAAGTAGGGGTGATCCTACTTCTGGAAACTTGGATTTTGCAATCTCAGCAGCGTGGGCTGCTGTTGGTTTTGACTCCCCCAAGCAAGCTGGGTGTCGGCAGTGCGCTCACAGATATGGGCCTCTGCTGTCTCAAGCCGTTTGGGTTTCAAGCAGGAAATATTCTGCTTGGCTTCAGTGACGTAGGTTTGGGGTCCAAGTGAGGGTCCTACTCGTTGGCACCCGTTTTTTTTTTCTTTTTTTAACGTTCTCAGTAGAGCTGGAGGCTGTTGGTTTTGACTGCCCCAGCAAGCCAGGTTTCCAAGTAGAGGTAACGCTACTTGAGGTTCACAGGTTGCCCATGGGCATTGCCAGGCAGTGCCCACAGGGCTGTGGGCTTAAGCTGGTTGGGTTTCAAGGAGGAGATGATCCTGCTTGGTGTGGCCTTATTGCCTTAGTGATTCAGGTTTGGAGTCCAAGTGGGGGTCATCCTACTTGCTGGCACCCGTGTTTGCGTTTTCAGCAGAACTGGAGGCTGTTAGTTTTGCCTGCCGCAAGCCAGGTTCCAAGTAGAGGTAACGCTACTTGAGGTTCACAGGTTGCCCATGATCATTGCCAGGCAGTGGCCACAAGGCTGTAGGCCTCTGCTGTCGTAAGCAGGTTGGGTTTCAAGCCGGAGGCAATCCTACTTGATGTGGCCTTACTTGCTTTTGTGACATAGGTTTGGGGCCCACGTGGGGGCGATCCTACGTGGTGGTGCCTTCCACTTGCCATGAATCTGGCTCGAACTTTTAAGCGAATTTCAGCTTCCAAGTACGGGTGCTCTTACTTCGGGAAACTTGAGGAGCAGGGCATCTATGGGCGAGTTGGCTATGGTGACCTTATGGCAGTGAAGGCTTGCCAGGACGAGAGTGTCACCAGCTTGACTTCAGAGATTGAAGAATGCTTCGAGGTGATCGAAGCAGTGATGCGTTTCGAGCCAAAACGTGAATTTACAGTTTTGTTGCTACCAATTGCGAAGAACTACAATTCCTGTGGCAGCCTGCAGAGACCCACATTGCGCAGTTGGAGCTCTCCATGGTAATTTACACCTTGAGTGAGAGCCCTGGCCTTCTCCGCCATCGACACGGTCTATGGTTCCTCGACGCTGTGGCTGCAGTCATGACCTTAGTGAGGGGACGTTCTAGCAATTCGGACCTAGCAAAGCTAGGCCATCTGATTCCTTTGGCCCTCTTCGCACTGCGTGCCCAGGGCTACTGGGAGTACGTCCAGAGCAAGAGCAACTGGGCCGACGACTTGGTGGCGCTGCCATGGATCTAGCTTTCATTCGTCGTACCTCCCCACAATCTTTTTCCAGTTGCCATTCGTTGCAGTCATTCTCACCTTTGAATTCCTCTAGTGCTTTGGGTGTTTGAGTGCGTTGGGTGATACCTGCAAAGGCAGGTCCCAACCTGCGGTGACAGGTTGCTGACCAGAGGTGATTCGGTCTGGGGCTATGTGCGAGTCACATTGTGACACATCCAAAGCAAACCTGAGGAGAGCAGGTGAAACAGACTGAACTTTGGTAGGTGGTTGAAAAAGAGCTGTGCGCGGAAGACGTGGTGAGTTCTTCATGTGTCACTTTGAGATGTATTCATGCATTGAGTTTGGCAGGCTTGGGTGTGCATGTGTCATCTTTAAGTGAGTCAATGAATGCTTTCATTTTGGCTCAAGTGGAGCTGAGCCAAAATAGCATTCATTGCTGTTTCTTTCCCCACCCTCCCAACCCTAAGAGCCGACCTCCCGTGGAGATGTCCGCCTAGGTTAGGGGAGCCTGCATGGCAGGCGAGTACATAGCCTCTTTCGGGGATACTCTTTTGGGGCGACCAAAAGAAACTTCCCTCCCTTAGGTTAAGGGACGGGTGATACCTGCAAAGGCAGGTCCCAACCTGCGGTGACAGGTTGCTGACCAGAGGTGATTCGGTCTGGGGCTATGTGCGAGTCACATTGTGACACATCCAAAGCAAACCTGAGGAGAGCAGGTGAAACAGACTGAACTTTGGTAGGTGGTTGAAAAAGAGCTGTGCGCGGAAGACGTGGTGAGTTCTTCATGTGTCACTTTGAGATGTATATATATATACACACGTATATATATATACGTATATCTATATACAGATACATATATATATATATGTATATATATATATACAGATATATATATATATATATATGTATATGTATATGTATGTATATATATATACACGTATAGTATATATATACAGATATATACGTATACATATATACATACATATATATATATAGATAGATATGCATACATATATATACACATATATATACATATACATGCATATATATATATAGATATAGATGTGTATACATATACATACATATATATACATCTGTATGTATATATATTATACATATATTTATATACGTAAAATACATTTAGATGGCTACAGAGAAGGAGGTCAGCTTCATATCCAATGCTTGGGAGAAAACAAGCTGAAGCGATGAATATCCGATGGGATGTGTGTAATTTATACATTCAAAGCAATACCTATCTGTACATACAGGCGCATTCAGAAAGTTTGCACCATATACGAAGGACTCTAAGGACAAGACCAATGTATATGTGTACATGCCTCAAAGCCACATGGCCAGTGTTGAGGGTCTGACTTCATAGCTCTAGCAGAAGCTTGTCAAAATCAGGGGTCCTTGGGGTTCCAGGAAGAATTACATACTATATATACAGATAAATATTGGTATATCAACACATAGATTTTCAAAATGATATACAAGTAATACGAATGTTTCCAAGAAGATGGTGAAGTATTGAACCCCATCTTTTGGGGTTTGTATGTATATGCATACAATCATCCTGAAGTAGATAGAATACAGTATTTTCAAACATATTAGAATTTTAGTAAGTTGTTCAAAGACATATTCTATCTACTCCAGTAGGACTATATATTATATACATACATAATGCTGTTTCAAAAAAAATAGTGAATTACGGCTAATTACGGAACTCTATCTCTTTATTGGTTCCTATTGTATTCTTTGTGCGAAAATGTGGCAACTCCCAAGCAGATAGAAGTTGGTAAGTACAGTTTCGGAAATGGTGACATTTATTGTTCCTTTTCTTTTTTTGGGGGAGATCACCATCTTTTCTCTTGAATTACTAGCCTGTATTTTATTGTTGGTTTCTATATGATATATGCACATATATAGCTTTACATATATATATATCTATTGATGCATGTGGCCTGGCGCCTTGAAAACACAGCGGGACACAGTCACAGGATGGTGTGATCTCCAGGGAGGAGTTCATGTTCGGCATGGTGGTGAGGGCCCAGGATGGCCCAGGAGGGCCCAGGAGGGCCCAGGATGTGAGTTTTCACTGGGGAAATGGTGGATTTGAGCTCCAACTTCACCGAAAATGCCTATCATTGATGGGTAAATTCCACATCTAATTTTGATATGGAACCTCAACAATAGGCTCTGGAAGAGAATTTTCTGGAGCTGGATTTATGGGACGTCATCAACAAGTTGATTTCATCAACCACGAAATGCTATGAACATCAGTTAGATTCAGTTAGATGGTATTTCCTAAATTTCACCATTTGATTTTCGTCATTTTGTGTTGAACGGTATTTCTTTCCGGATCGTAGGTTGGTTCAATCGGATTTACACAATCTGAAGTCTCTCTCGAAGTCACACGGAGAAATCGGTTGGGACGATCAATTTCAGAAACAGGAGATGTTGGTTACATCTCTTCCCCCTAATATTAAACACCCCCAAACGAAACCATGGTGGATTTTTTGGGATTTCCACATCATTGGGACCATAGAATGGGGGTGTTTAATAATAGGAGTTAAATGATGGATAAATGATATTTTTATTTGTAGGTACATAGAATTGTTGATACAATGATTCAGGGTATCTCAGTTTTTAGGTTTTATGACGGAACATCCCCTGTTTAAAACCACACGCTTTTCACCATTTTTTTGACGATGTAGTTCCGGGATTCCCCAGCGGCCATGGATTCTGAGGATCGCAACCACGATGGGCAAATCTCCCGTGAGGAGTTCGGTGGCCCAAGGGACCGGGCGTTGGGCGACAAAGATGGCATGGCAAGTCTGGCTGTGGAGGAAACACTTGGTTGAGCATTCTTAATGCAAGTCTGCGACTGCAGGATTTTCTTGTTTTTTTTGCCACACTCGGAGACTGTAAGTCAGCACTCTTTGTGACAGTGGGCTCTTTACTGGTCGACAGAGCACATTTTGATAAGTTCAATGCCCAATATGCTGCCGAAAGATGTGAACAAAGTCCGCCTCTCCATTCCAATGCAGTACACCTGCAATTGGGGAAGCCCTTGAGGTTTATGGCTGCCATGCCAGGAGGCACCGGGTCACGGTCTCTCCCTTGACATGATCGTTGCCGGTAATCAGGGCGGGCTGGGAAATCCCGAAGTCAACTATAAACCAAGGATTCTCCAGCATGCCATGAAGCCTACCGCCTGGCAGGTTCAGTGACATATGGCACTGCTCCGGTGACTGGGATGTTCTGGCTGGGGGGATGGTCATGAGGCAGTAAGGAGACATTTGGTGAACCAAGCATTTCTGATCTCCAAAAAGCCATAGGTTTGTCATATTGATAAGAAATTGTGTCCACTCATGGAAATGAACATCAAGAGCTGATGAGGGAACCATTGACATGCACTACAATTGGTTTCGCAATCCCATCCCCGCCATGGGCCCCCCAAATGAATAGATCCAATACTGAATGAGGGTTTCTGGGGGGTTATTTAATGTTCGGAGCAACGGACTAATCAGATCCTAAGCCACTCCCGCTCCTGCTATTGCTTACTGGAAATGAAGGGGGATATATGATCTATGTTTTACCCCCCCAAAACCCTCAACACTGTCATCGCAACTTTGACTTTTCACACTTTCCTGACCTGAGGCCACCATGACCACCGCTCCCGTCTACTCAGCCCCCACCACCTTTGCCGCGCCCATGATGTACGGAGCACCCCCTGGTGCCGTGCCGGTCTATGGTGCCCCTGGTGTGGTGCCGGGCGCCACCTACGCTGCGCCGCAGCCGGTGCCCACAATGATGGCGCCCACCTATGCTGCCCCAGTGCCCACTGGCACCCAGCCCGTTGGTACCGCCCCGGCGGAGCCGGTGGGAACTGGTGGGGACCCGGTGAACACCAGCACCACGGCAGTGGAGACGGCGGTGTCCACCCAGACCTTTCCGCCTGCGCGAAGGAGTACGGCCTTGCAGACCATCATGGGATCCGTGACACAGGCAGATGGAGGGGATCAGTTTTAGATTCACTGATGATGTCAGTCTGGAAGGAGCCATGAAAGTGATTCCAGGGAAAACCTGCAGAGACCCCCTCTATTTGTAGGGCTAGGATCATGTTTTTTTGTAATTAATCTTCTCCCAGGCTTGATGGCAATGCCAGGACCATCACACCGACGTGAACCTGTTGTGGCTCAAAACGTGGGCATTCATTCATTTGATGCCAACTTTTGTGGGAGAAATGATGATTATTCACTCGATTTGGGGGTAGCCCGTTTTTAGACAGACCCAAGTGCCACCAAGTAGTCTTTTTCCTTATCAATCAAAATGTGGGATTTTCACACCCAGTTGTGATTTTTCGAGCAGGGTCCGTCCCAAAGTGGCAGCGGGTCAGGTCAACGTTCCTGTGGAGAGTGTGGCTGACCCATCCAAAGCGACCATGTCGTGCCTCGGCGACAGATCCAAGTCTTGAGCTTCTTGCGGTGAATTCTTTTGGGGCCATAAAAACACTGGTTATTTAATATAGCCATGGTATAGATGGCCCATTTATAGATGGTTTACCTATTAATAGCATGGTGATTTTCCATGGCTATGTTAGTCATAACCAAATGGTAACAGCTATAACCATCTAGAACCCTCGAACTGAGATCATAAAGAAGGTACCCTTGGCGAGTAAGTGGATCGTCCCACTTAGTCAGTGGTTAATAAGCCTGGTGTTACGTAAGTCCTCTAGTGCGAACCGTCCCATTGATAAATGGTGAAAAAACCCCAGTTACCAATCAGTTACGATTGGTGGGATGATCCTCCAAATGTTTGAACCTTTCCCCACCACCTTCCAGCCCTCGAAAACAAAAAGCCACTGAGGCACTGGGCGGCCCAATTTCAAGCCGTGTCGGTGGAGGGTGAGCCACAATACCTTGCAGGAGTGGGCAGTGAAGTCCAGGGTGCGCCTCAGGTCAGGGTTGCTGGGGGCGGTGACACTTTGGGTTGGGGCAGCTGAAGGCTTAGGAGATGTTAGGAGCTTGTGGGAGATTTGTGGGAGATTTGGGAAAATAGGGGGGGGGGTTAGCTTTAGGATGTTTATTGGTTTCTGCGGAACGTGAGGTCATCATTGGAATTTCGACTGGTGGAGTGGGAACCAACTTGTGGAAAATGTATGTGGATGGGTCAAGACCAACCCTGAACTTAGGTGAATCAGAGGATTTCTTACTGGATAATCTGCAAGAAACTATGGAAACCATGTTGCTTCTGGTTTCGATTTTCCATTAAACCGATTCATGCTACATTGGAACTCTCCAACCGTGTTTGGGTCTAAAGGTCAAAATCTATGTGAAGGTTTGGTTCCTCCTGTCATTTTTCAGGATTTCTCTGGATTCTTTTCATTTCCAAGCTTTCCCATCTCTTCCATTTAACTTTGAACTCACAGCCATTTCATTTGTTTCTGCATTTCAAAAAAACCCTCTGGTAATCTAGCACAGCCATGGAATATGGCCCAATGGGTAATCTCCACATGGATCATTTTCGATGGAAAACTGTTGAAATATAATATATAATATATATAATATATATATATAATATAATATATATGTTCCATACGTTTTTCCATTTCTTCGTGTTTTTCAACGAACTCACATTTTTCCCTGTGTGAAAATGCTGTTCCACGGCATTTTTCCCGGGGGTTCACGGCGACCGCCGGCTTTTTACCGGGGGTGATAGGTCATGATGCAGCGACAAGAGCAAGTCGTGGCGGGTCAGGTGAAACAGAAGGCATGGGGAGATCGGTGCTGCAAGGATCCGTGAAACAGGGATGTTTCTCATGAAACATGGGGATCTAACTAGGAAAAAAGGATGATATAACTTGATATAACTGTGAAATTTTGGGTATTTGACCAACAAATGTGGAATATCCATGGAATTTACCGTGAAACATGGGGCTTGAACTAGGACAAACATTGAGATGTCATGGAGATCTGTTGGGGATATAGCTGATGATCTGGTTTGACGAGCATTTTTTTCAGATGGGAAACCACCAGCCAGGGCAACTAGAGTTCGTATACTGTATATATTAGTAATGAGAATGGACAGAACTGGCGATTCTTTTTGGATACGTGCATATTTACATTTCGACATATTTTGAAGACATTTGTTGGTTCCTGGTGAAACAATGGTTGTTTTTATTGGTTCCTCTTCGAGATGACGATGGCCGCGATGGCTGCGATTTTCGCCAGATCACGGAGATTCCAACGATCCAAGAGATTGTGGAGGAACAAGAAGTGCCTGAGGTGCTGGTGCTGGCTGGGAAGGTAATGGGTTTCTGCCTGGGAAGGTAGCAGGAAATGGCTGGGGAATGGCTGGGGAAAAGCTCCAACAGAGGGAGCTGGACAGGGCCCTTGTATTTTCTCATTCTTTTTGGGTTGGACACAACAAAAACCGGGACGTGGCCCCCCAAAAGCGATCAACTCGATGGAGTTTGGGTGACCTACCAGACTTGGAAGTGTCGACAACTCCACGTCTTTTTGGCGGAAGGGGATGGAGGAACTGCCCTCTAAGGAAGGAGATGCAAACAATTCCTGCAGGAAGTCATGGTTGATGTCAGCCAGATTTTCCGTAGGTTTGCTGCTATCACTAAGTATCTCAAACCGATTGGTACAATCCTTCTTCCATGGTGCAGGGTTTCCCCCATCCCCATCGAGTCGAGACAATGGAAATACTTCCTGAAAAAGTTGACAGTGGGCCACAAAGGGACCTTTTCCATTCTCATCCTAAGGCAGTTGATTTAGTTGCGTTGTTTCACGTTGTTTCAGGGTGTTTTAGGGTTTAACCATGTAAAAAATGTAGAAAAAAAACCCAAAAAAACCTGGCCGCTCACTGACCGATCTTCACAGGTGCAGTACATCAACAAGATCGTTGAGGCTGGGCTCATCTGGGCTCCCTGGAATGGTGCCACTGGTGCCACTGGTGCCACTGGAGATGACATGGCATGACCATCGCGGAGATGGTTTTTTGTTGTTTTCGTGGAGATTTTTTTGGTCCTATATTTGGGACAGTGAAGGTGAGTAACTTCGGCATATTGTGATGCGTGAGGATACAATCTTACACAGGATTGTTTTTGGTTGCTCATCCCCTCTATGCTATGGAAATGCATCAGTGAAAGGCATAGGATTGTGGCTATGTCCATAGCTACCATGGGCAACATGGCCAATATCCAGTAGCTCACACGCTGCAACATACACGGTTTCTCCCATGTGGGTATTGGTCCAGCTCGAAGAGCCTAGCAGATTTGGGTGGGGGATTGAAGCCTCCAAGCTCCCTTTTTTTGAAACATGCTGGCGTGATGACCCATGTTACAGGTATCATAGTTGATTACCATCTGGTTATGACTAACATAGCCATGGAAAATCACCATGCTATTAAATTCGGTAAACCATCTATTTCTATGGGCCATCTATACCATGGCTATGTTGGTCATAACCAGAGGGTATCAATAAAAAATCACATTCAAATCTTCACGCTGGAACTCCTTGCCCCTTTGAGGGGCTTGATTTCCCCCCCATTTCTTGGCCAGTCGGCGTTTTCCGGATCGCTTAGATCCGGAGGTTTTCGACATCTAAGGGCACCTTAAAGGGGTACCCTCTGGTAATTTAACGTAGCTATTGAAAATGGCCATAGAAATAGTAGATTTTCCCATGAAAAATGGTGATTTTCCATAGCTATGTTAGTTTACCAGAGGGGTACCCCAAGAAGATATGTCCTTTTTTGGAATCTTTTGGATGCTGCCGGTTCAGAAGCCCTCAAGAAGCCTTTCAGAAGGCCAAGAACTTGGGGGAGACACGGAGATTTCCATTCGATTCAGCCCCTGGCCATCCCCTGGCCCTTTTTGGATGCTACGTTCGGAAGAGCTCCTTTTCCCCCAAGGAAAAACATGACACACACACAGAGAATAAACGCCATAATAATCATAGTGATAATGAGAACTAAGCATGATGATAACAGCTATACTATTTATGAATAGCTATGATAGTTATGATAGTCATGATCGTTATAGTTATAAAAGTTGTGATAGTCATACTAGAATATTTATGATACTTACAAACACCAGCAAGAAGCAGACATAGTTCCCGCAATTGATGTCAACCCTGGATTAGTAAATCCCTAGGCCCTAGGCTGTTTAATTGGCTGGTACCATTTAAGTATTAGATTATCACGATGATCACTATTTGGGAGGTCCCTACTTTCCCAAGCCAGGTGCCAGAGATTATCCAGCAGCAGATCGAGCAAGTCGTGGAACAAGTCGTTCACGTCCGCCACGGAACCACCGGGGGGGATCAGTTGGGATGTCGTAGCTGGGATTTCCAATGTATTCCAATGTCTTTCTATATAATTATGGGGCCATAGGTTTCAGGAGTTCACATGGAAAACATGTTTCGTAGCTGCATTCTGTCCCTAGATGCTAGGGGTAATTATCATAGCCACTTACTTTGGGCTACAAACATAGATCTGGAAAAGCCTCCCAGGGAATCCCTAGGGAAACTGATCTGTCATATGTCATCTCTAGGGCGACATGTCTGCCAGGTGCCTCAGATTGTGGAGCAAAAACGTGTACAACACCGCCACGTCGAGCAGTTCGTGGCGTGGCTATGGGGGTTTCATGAAACTGGGTGACGCCAATTTCACCATCGCTAGGATCAGATTTTTTCTTGGAAAAACACCAATTTTACGAGTTTTTTTGAGGTGATCCCAGAATGGAACATGTTCATGGCAGAACGCTTTTTGGGCACCACGTGATTTGGTTGGCAAAGCATGGCGAAACCGAACAAATGTCACAGGATTCCCCCAAGCGTGTTCTCTGATGGCCAAGGTGGACGTTCCTGTTGCGGAACAGGCCAAGATTTTTCTTGCAAAGTTTGACAGAACATTGTCATTTAATGCAGAGACAACAATTTCAACTGGAATCCATTTTTCGAGGATCCAGCAGAAAACATGTTGAGACACCATCATCTTGAGTTATCTTGGAAGAAACGTGGCATTTTACCAGGAATTGGGGCTGTCAGGCTGCACCGCAGGAACAGGTGGTCGAGATTCCTGTGCCAATGCAGGACGGATCATCTACAGGGATGCTGATGATCAGAAGAACTCTTGATGATCGGATGAGGGACAATCATAGTATGGGTTAATATGGGTTAATATGGGTTAATATTGATTAATATGGGTCAATAGGGGTTAAGAATGTTAGATATACTGGGTGAATCAATGTTTCTAATTTCACCGGATTATGCCTATGATACGAGCAGCAAGGTACCGATGGTCGGATGTCCCATGAGTGGGATGGAGCCCGCAAAACAAGGGCTTTCGCGCTGTATGTGTGTTGCATGCAGTAGATATCTTTGTCCAATACAACATGTATTTATTTAATTTTATTTATATACACATGCCTAATATATACCATCTAATATCTTCTCAATTATCCAAAATCCAACAAATATATATATATATATACATCCATATCCATATCTTCTCAAATTTTCTCATATCTTGTATATATATATATAATATCTTCTATAGCTATGTAAACACATCTTCTCTACAGCCGGGGCAAAAAGTGCCAGCTCTCCGCGTCCGTCCAGGAAGAGGAGATTGTGCACGTGCCGAAGATCATCACCCAGACCCGTCAGGTGCAGCAGTCCCTCGGCGCTATTCGGCGCTCGGCGTTTTTGGAGTAGCCCGTGGGGGGCGGTTGACCCACTGCCCTGGACTGCCCTAACTTTGAACGGCTGAAACGGTGTTTTTGTTTCGCATCTCTATTTTTAGATTGGGTAAAGACACTTTTCTGCATCTTTTGAAAAGGGTTCCGATGGTAGTAATCATGATGATCATAGTGAGAACAATTGAGAACAATGACGATCATGATAATCACACTACCAAACAACGCAGCACAATGGAAACGGATCCTATTTTCATATATATATATTATTATATATTGTTATTATTATTATTATTTAT